CTATCTTATTTTTTCATAAAATTTTACTTGTATAAATATATATTACGCCTGTATAATATCCTTGTTGCCCTTCCATCATTGTACAATTTTACTCTTAATGTTTATTAATATGCTGTGTTCATTATCATAATTAGTTAGTGATTTTAAATCCTGATAATGCTCAGCGAAATCAGGAAATGTAACTTATGTTATTTTAATAAAATGAAATGAATGAAAAAAAATGAATGATATACCAAGGCACGATGTCAGCAGAGAAGAAATCTGCGTCAAGTCTCTTCAGCCACGCCATGACGGCTTGCTGAACTTCCGTATCAGTTTGGAATCGCTTACCACCCAGATTCTTCTTCAATGGTCCGAAGAGATGGAATTCACAGGGTGCTAGGTTGGGGCTATAGAGAAGATGTTCCAGTACCTCCCACTTGAAGCACTGTAACAATTCAGTTTATTCAGTTTGCACATCTGTCTTGCGTTTTTCGAGCTCAGTGCACCAATCCCACACCTGTTTTTGTGACATGATATTATCACCATACATCTCAACAAGTTGACGATGAATTTCTACTGGTGAGTTGCCTTTCAGACCGGATCACACTACGTACTTCCACGTTTTACCACGTTTCCGTGAGCACAGCCATTTTCAAAATGAGATTGCAAGAGTCTGACGCAACATTTCCACCATCTAACGCCTGTGTGATAAAGCTGTGGTCTTCTGCTGTCCTAATGAGAAATTTGTACATGAGGAGGAATATGACACCCGTTAGTGCTCTCGTTACCTTACTTTTTGAATCACCCTCGTATAAAATCTTACATCAAATGAACAGTATGTTCATTTGATGTAACATTCGGCCAATTCGGCCATGAATTTTGGACCGAATGTTTAGAAAAGGAGGAAACGAAATTATATTACAATTCATCAATTTCTTTCGGCGGAATGTTTTCACACGCCTAGCCTATGCGCCACATAGGATTTTCCTATTCTCTCTTCATTGAGTGTTAATCGCCATAAATCTCCTCTTTTAACACGATGTTACAAAATACTAAATAAGTTTGTCATAGGCTGGACAATATTGAAAATATCTAAGGTAGTAATTTTTGACAAAATTTTAGATTCCATCACGAGGTTGATATGCGATTGAGTTATATTTTCCACTTTTAATTTCGTTTCTTGCAAAATATAATTTTCTATTGATATGTCATGTCTGCAGTTATCGATGACTCCCTTTTTATTCAGTCTAAAGCTTACAACTATATCCGTAGCATAGGTAGATCAACTGTAGCAAGGACGATGGTCTTGCCGACGTCTGAGGACTACCTCAGATAAAGAAATAATGATAATAAAATTGAAAATAATGTTATTGAAACCGTGAGTTTTCATAGATTTATTGAAAGTTTTCTTTAATTTAATTTGTAATATCTGTCGTCTGTATTTACATAATGTGGCGTGTTTCGTGAAAAGTTTTGATTAAATCGCGAAAACTTTTCTTTCATAATAAGTTCGTTTGCGAATTCGAAACTTTTTAATTGCCAATCGTGAAATCTGTGTATCGATCTTTTTGAGAATTAATTGAAAAGATCTTATTTTTGAAATGCATATTTTTTTCGTGAAATCTTTTCTTTTAAATGCTGCAACGGACAGTAATATCTGACTATTTTTATATGGTGTCACTTTTTATTTGATTTCGTCGGAGACCGATTAATAAGATATGTTGCTGCTATGATAGCTTCTCCAGTAACTTAACAGTAAGTTTGCGGATATTATCCAGGTTATCTAAAGTATGCTATCCATACTTTCGGCAATGTTGTTACTTTCGAGACAATATGAGACAGTGAGTGAGTTCAGGTTTGATTCTTTTGTCTCCAAAGTACTATTGCAATGTGTTCGAAAGGAACTCAGCACCCATATTTGTCTTTACAGGTTTGATTTTAGAAGTAAGAAAATTTGATCGTTTTCTTTCATTTTTATATTTTTGAATTCAAAAGTCTTATCAATGGGCACGTTATATAATAATACGGCTTTAATATAGCTGGAGCGACCATGCTTGTTGTCTAATTTGGCAACGGATTTTAGAATATTGAAATTTTCAATTTGTTTTGTCCTTTCTTTAGGGTTACTTTAAAAATATTTTTCTGGTAACTGAAAACGAATACTTCTTGTTTATCTGGTAATAATCTATATGAATTTGAGTAAAAGTCAGAAAGAGATTACCATAAAGAAATGAACAACAATAATTTCAAAATGTGGTTTGAAAAAATATGATCAAAATTAGAAAACAATGTCTTTGTTGTTGGCATGGAAAATGTTTCATATCACTCGGCTAAAATGAAGATTCCAAATTCCAGTTGGAAGAAAAGCTGAATAATATCTTGGTTACAAAAAACTAAAGATTCTTTCCATGACAAAATGTTAAAAATAGAAATTTTAGATTTTGTTAAGAATGTAAAACATAAATACTATAAATACTTGTATATTGTTGACGACATGGCCAGAGAAAAAAATATATTACGTTCACCTTTCAATTATTGTAATTTAAATCACATTGAACTGATATGGACAGACGTGAAAAGTTACATCTCACGTCAAAACATAATACTCAAACTATCGGATGTGCGAATTCTAATGAATAAAGCTATTGAAAAAGTAGCAGAGGAACAATGGTTAAAATGTGTCGAACATATACAAATAGATGTACAGTACAACGAACAACTTGATAAAATTTCGGAAACTATCGTAGAGAAACTGATTATTCAGTTGAATACAAATAGTGACGAAACAGATATTAATGATCATATTGAGTAACTATCTTCTGATACAAGTAATGGGTAAGGTAAGTTTACAGTATAATTTTTTAAAATTTTAATTATATAAATGTAACATAATTAAACTCTGACATTACCTATATATTTACATCGCGGAAGCTTTTGATTCTGTTGTTCTAAATATTCTATTGAATAAATTATTTTCAGAATTTGAAATTGATAATAAAATATTAGCCTGGATTTGTAATGTTTTTCTAAAATCATAAAATAAAAATTTCTGATTTTTCCCCATTGATCAGCATTCTACAGGGATTTGTACTTAGTAACTTATTGTTTATAGCCTACATTAATAAGTCTCTTTCTCGAATTTTCTTTTCTTTTGTAAATGCTAATGTTGAGGACATAAAATTGTTAACACTTGTCACAATTTATTGCAAAGCGATATTAACAAACTTAATACTTCATTTAAGAAACTTAATTTATAAATTAATACTAGTAAAACCAAATTTATGATTTATAGTCTGGTTAAAGCTTATTGTTACAGAACTTTTTATATTGATAACCACATTTTAGATATAGTTGATATTGTTTAGGACTTTGGCGTTGTCTTTGATTCAAAGCTTTCTTTTAAACATCATATTGAACAATTAACTTAAAAAACCTAAATGTGTATGGGTATGTTGTGGAGAAATTTCAAAGTAATCTCAAGTAAAAGGACACTTCGCGCTTTATTTTCTACTAATAGGCTATACAAATCTCAATAGATTATGCTTTAACCATATGGGCATTAGTCCTTGCTTCCATTCTGTATAAATTTCATTGTGAGATGGCCAAAATTGACCTCCTTTCAAATAAGCTTGCAAATCTTTCATCTACTAATTCTCCCGGGGTTGCTCGTGTGCGCTTGGGTTTTCCTTGTTTTTTTTCAAACGAATTGATTATTTTACAGAGCATATTCTTATAAATATTTTAATGGTCTCCTCATTTCAAAATTTTTACTTTTACGCGTTCCTTCTTTTAATTTTAGAATTTTTACTTGTTTGTATTCTCTATTTGCTCGCCTTAACGTTACACTTAAATAATTTTTTTACAGGTATCAAAAGACTGCTGTAACCATTGAAGATCAATTTTTTTTCGATTTCTTTAAATTTGAGTCCATTGTAAAAAACGACTGTATCCGGCATTAAAAAACCAAATTATTTTAACTTTTCTAATTTTTATACGTTTATTGTTTTTATTATTTATATTTTTAGTCTTTTTTTAACTTTATGTGTTTGTTTGTTATTTGTTACTTGGGGGATCGGGTATCATTGTCGGTGTGACATCTCTGCATTTTCTTGAAAGAATAAAAAATAATGAATGTAAGCAACACATCGCGATGACTGATTTTCATTTTGTAAACAAATTTCTGAAAGCAATAACCCGTAGAAGGGTAGAAGAAATTCATTGGTTCTTTAGAGCAACATCACGAATGAAATCACAAACCGTGAAATTTCGAAATCGTTAAAGAGCAAGTCACGTAGTAATGATTCTAGTCCCGTCATCCGACTCCTCAAGTGGCTTACTTGAATTTGCACGGCCCGAGACGCTCCAGATATATAGTAGATTCTTAGAAATACACCTCCACACTCAACTTGTTCAATATGTACAGTACAGTTTATTTACTAAAATTATGCAGGTTATCACGGTACCCCATCGTACCGATTGGCACAATAATAACCGAAGGCAAGTTAGAACAGAAATATCTACCCGACGATTTATGTACCGTGGAGAGGCTCTATCCGCACTTTCGTCCGATCTCACATCTCACCGTGAACGTTCCTTCCGGGGGAGCGTTATCTCTCTCCCTATCCTCAGCGGGCTTGCCGAATATCTGAGATCTACGTGCTGTCAGTACTGAGCCTTACCCTACNTAAATAAAAGTAGTTATAAATAATAAAAAATAAATTCAAAAATTCTTTTTAAAACAAGTATCAAACGTAATAATTTATTGGTTATGTTGAAATATGTACTGCCGTGTGTTTTATTCTACAATAAATAAAAGAAAATATAACAAATGCTCCGTGTAATCAATAATAATTTGAGAGTATAATTTAACACACCTACTATGAAACACGCAACAAAACCGATTATCATTTTATAGTTAGAAACTTTCTCTAAGATGCTGATCCCTTAGGAAAATTGACAAAAATCGCTTGAGGAAGACCGACAAATCAGAAGTTTATAGGAAGAGATAAGGATAACTTTTATAAGCAAAAGCGTTTGATAAAGAAAATAGCGTAAAGTGTTTCACCTTCCTGCAAAGTTCATAATAGTATTAATAAAATTTAATTATCTCACAGTATAGGAAAAAAATTTGTTACNTATTCAAACTGATTGCTATTATTTTTTCTTTGATAATTGTAGATACTGTAACGCGGCAAACCATCACCATTTGAATCAAATTTTACTTGGCTTTCTGCTAAGTCTGAAAAATAATTAAAGTTTTATTAATAAAAATTTACTTAATTTTAATATTAAAAAAATTCTTATAAACATTTTAACAAATGAATGAAAAGTATAATGGCTAATAATTATTTAACTTTTAACTTGTTCTGCTTATTTCTATTATATTTAACTTTCATTTAATGATTAAAGTCTTTGAAAATTACATTGTCTTTTATTTGATTGTTTACAAAACATGTATAGAGTAAACTGCACTTGTTTTGAGAATAATCAAATGAAATTAGTACCGAAGTCAAAATAAATATGGAATAATTATATTGTATATCATACGAGTATATAGTCTGTCTGTGTGTTCTTTACGCATTTGAAAACATTTTAAGAAAATGCAAGCAAACTTTCCAAAAATCATTCTCACATTCAGGAGAAGTTAAACGACTACTATTTGTGCGAAAAAAATTGGTCCTGTGATGTGTGTCTGGTCAATAAAATTGTGGCATTCTGTAGTATTAGAGCACTTCTAAACATCACACTGCGAGCAAATACAGACATATATCTAAAGGTTTACGAGTGTTATTTATATTANGGTACCCCATCGTACCGATTGGCACAATAATAACCGAAGGCAAGTTAGAACAGAAATATCTACCCGACGATTTATGTACCGTGGAGAGGCTCTATCCGCACTTTCGTCCGATCTCACATCTCACCGTGAACGTTCCTTCCGGGGGAGCGTTATCTCTCTCCCTATCCTCAGCGGGCTTGCCGAATATCTGAGATCTACGTGCTGTCAGTACTGAGCCTTACCCTACACGTCTCTCTTATTTTTCCGGTCTGCTCGAAAAATTTAAAGGTTTTTGGGGAGCCAACTTTCGTTCAATTAGAAGGACGGCCACAGGCGAAGTTTTCCTTTATGTCCGCGCTGATCCGAACGCGAGGAGTTGTCCTCTCTTGTTTATTTGTTAAGTTGTTTTTCACAACTTATGGCTAGCAGTTTTATGACTGGACTCCACTTGGTTCCAATTTAAATTATTACAAATTGCTTTGGTTTTTTTCCAAACTAGAATTATTGTGTAATTATGTGTTTCAATTTTACACACGTAATTACGCAAATCTCGTTTCACTTCACATCGCTTTTGACGTGAAGTGGCAGCTACTGCTCTGGGGATCCGGAATAGATTCCGGACGAGTCAAAAACCCCAGGAAGTTTTTGGGAGTGATCCATCCGGATATGTCAGGCCCCGTCCTTCACCATTAGACCGCCCTATTGCGAGCTTGGCTGAGCCCTCTTAGTATTCACAAGATGAAAAAAGTTTTAAAAATGTAGTTATATGGCACACAGTGAATTTTTCTTTTCATTAAAATTGTAGTCAAATTTTCTAAATATGTCAATGAAATGAGGTTAAGTTTCAATTTAAATATGTTACTTTTATGACCGAATGTTTATATAAACTTTAATTTTAAAAGATTGTTATTATAGAATGCTTTTTTTAGAATTTATAATAATTTTGAATTAGTATTGCTGATAAATTTTAAGCAAAAACGCTTTGATTTCTTAGCAATAGGTTATAAGTAACAAACTTACAACCTGTCTACAAGTTATTATATAGTTATATTGTTAACCGAAATTAGATTTCAAAGATATTTACATCAATTGAAAACAAATAATAAAGACCATATTAATTTTTTACTGGAAACATTTACAATTAAATTACTATTTATTACCACGTAGTTAATACAGTTTCAATGTAACGTAATCAAAATTTAAAATTTTTAAAAATAATTACGAATTCAGTTTCACACGGTATGTATTACATTGTTTTGATACAACCCAGAAATTGTAATTCTGATTGTTATCTTGAGCTATTTATTGAATTGTGTTCAAATGAATTTTTGAAGAAGTTTTTCATTTTTTTTGTATTACAACAATGACTATTATGTCTAATAAATTCATATTCGTGGACATCATAAAATATTTAATTATAAATTTTTGAGTATTAAAAACCAAGCATTTTATTGCCTGTTTTACTGCTTGTTTTAATAGAACATATTTATTGAAAGCAATAAAAATTACTTTTTCTTTTTTTCACTATTTTTTACTTATTTTGTTCTCTCTTATCTATTGGTCTTTTATAAAATATTCATGCACCAAATAAGATTACAAAGTAATTATTGTTTTTTAACATTCCACTCTAAATTCAAAAGTTAAAATTATTGTTTATTTAATACCTGTACTAGTATTATCATGTGAGATAAGAATAGTTTCAATTCTTATAGCCATGTTTCACTCGTAACTATGTTGATCAGCATGGTGAAAGGAAGGTTTAAAACTCGATTTGACCATTTGCAAAGAATTCGGGAGTTCAAATTATATTTCAAGTCAAATTTCTCACTAAATACTACAGACAAATATGTATTCAAACTACAACTAAATTTGAAATTACATAACGTACTGTACATTTATATGCTATTTAAATATTCGATTTGGATCGATCACATTCATTCTACACAATGTGTTTGAGATCGATATGATCAAAGTTGATTAGAAATTTAAGAATATAAAACTTTCTAAGTTTCTTCCTAGATAATAAAAAAATGATTTCTGTTTTGGATTGTTTAAACTGTTTCTCAATAAATGAAATTTATCGATTAGAAAAAATAGTTTTTCTATTGTTTTCCGTGTCTAATGTATTGTTAGATTATAAGATTTTTCGAAAACTAAGAGAATAAAACTTTATATATTATGGTGAAAATCTCTTTATAGAATTATTATATAGAATGATTTATCACTCATTTGCGTCAGCCTCACTATAATATACTGAGTTTCTAATAATAATCTATATAACGTCACAAATGACGCCATCTTAAATGCCATTAATAATGCCATAAAGAAGTAACAGACGTTTATATGGCTAGAGATGATGTATGGATTACTGGAAACCATAAGGATAACTCAGATTTCTGAACATACGTAAATGTGTGTTATAATCTTGCTGTTTTATGTATTGATCTTAAATATATTTTCAACATATGAACATGTGATTTAGGCCATTAATAGATTTTTTCCTTGTATAACTTTATTAGAATTTAATTTAAAAATTAATACTATGTTCATTTAAACGCGATTAATTCCGATCAATATTTGTTAAAATATTGTAAATTAATAATTAACAGATCTCTCCCTATCCTCAGCGGGCTTGCCGAATATCTGAGATCTACGTGCTGTCAGTACTGAGCCTTACCCTACACGTCTCTCTTATTTTTCCGGTCTGCTCGNAGAAATAATTTAATATATATTATATTAGTATCATTTTTCGTTATTTGGATTGAATTTATATGCGATTATTTTAAAAAATCTCACTGTAAATTGTTGTCTTATTATCCAATATTTTAGAATTTTACAAGAAGGAAATATTAGATTTAGTTGATTCGTATGAGAGAAATCGCTTAATAATTATTTCATATTTAAGTAAGTAACGTTTATAAAATAATCAAATTTCAACAACAACTTACAATGCATATTTTTGCACCCTGTTCATCATGTTACCATGCAACGTTACGAAGAAACATTACTCCTGTCCACATTGATATGCTTACTGCTCGTACAGTCATGTCGACGGTTTCATCTTTATATTGTATAGTTTTAGGCATATGTTTAGTTTAATTTTAAATTTAATATTTTTTCACCTTGTATAATTTTAAGTATACTTAGACCTGTCGCTATTACCAACTGATGAGGGACTACTTTTCCATTGGAAAATAGTCCGAAATGCATTTTGGATTTTATGGTTTTTATACTTATGTAATCATCTTATTGTACAACCCTATCTGTTTTATTAAATTTTTTACTTTGATTTTTGAGCGTTTGTGCCCTTTGTCATTGGTGTGATAAGCCCTTCCTATTATCTACCTTATGGTTATAGATATTTTAATTAATTAATTTAATGTATATTATATTCTGTATAGAAATAATATATAATAATCTCTTAACACATATTAAAAGCAAATAAATAACAACTGAAATAAAACTCGATAATCAAATCGTTATTTTTAATCTTAATATAAATCTCTAAAACATGTTAAAATATAAATAAAACCTAAAGTTTCCAATTAGGATTTTTGACCTTAACTATAAATATAATACTGTATTTACTTCTTTCAAGTTAAACAATGTATTATTTTGATGTATTTACACTTCATATTGTACTCTTCCCCTCTTATCAAACATAACTCAGTACAGTATTATCCAATATCTTGTTTATTATTATTATTATACTTAATATCTACAACAATTCCCTATTATATTATTGCTCTTGTTGCGATCGACAAAGCTTACATATATCTTACCTATCTAGTGTCATATTTGTATAATTCAAAATATTGCTTTTATAAATCCATTATTGTTTTGATTCTAAATGAATTTTTATAAACATAAAATTGATATAATTTACTTGGTAATTTTAAAGTAATTTATTAAGAAAATTTTTAATTATTGCTTTAACACTAGAAATTACTAAATTGAGTAATTTAATATAAACTTTTATTTTAATAAGTTTTAAAAGTCAATCAAAATCTGGAACATTTAAGAAATAATCGTGAGATATAAATGTAACGATGATTTTAAAATTTATTCACTAATATTCAGTTTAAATTAAAAATACATTCACATTATTGTAACTGTTAAATATGAATTTTGAATATTGCAAGAATTTTCTCGAAGTTTCGCGATGAATCTTTAATGCCTCTGAATATTACATATTTTTTCTCCGCGGAAAACTTTATTAAATAAATAATAAATTTTAATATTAAATATTCAGAATATTTACTTACTTTGTTCATTACAATTAATAATTAATACTATACATTTCATTATGTCTAGTTTTTTTATGATTTTACAGTTTATTATTTTATAAAATTACTTAATTCTATAAATTATTGATATATTTCATTCTTATAAATCAAAACAAATTGTTTTTTAATTTTTCACTATTATAACTACTGTACTCTATTGCTATGGAGTTTCGT